GTGAGCAGAGGTACTCCAGGGACACCCAAAATACTTCCCTGGGTAATTTTGCCATTCAAACTCACCTGGTTGAAGTGGGCAGGCTGTCCTTGTGTGAAGCATGGGATCGGAGGCCTAGTTCTGAGTGTCATCCTTGTGGTGTGGCAAAGGTTGTGACTGGCAGGTAAAGGTTTATTCAGGAGCTCTATTTAAGACTCAGGTTATTACTGTACTTGTCGTGTGAGCACCTCAGCTTTATCATTCCTTTTATAAGGGAAAGATTTTGTTGGGTGTTTTTTCCCCCATTAAATTCTCCATTCGTTTATAAATAATTAAAAAAAAAAAAAAAAGAAAAAGAAAAAAAATGGTGATTTGCCCAAGCCAATCCAGAGTCATAAGACTGACTCCCAAAACTGAGCACATTATATGTTTTCTGTTCATCAGATTTTGCGTTCTTTGACCCTGTTTTGTGGTCCTGAGAGCTGCAGCAATAACATCACTATCTCCAGTAGACTTTGTGTGCTCTAGCATATCCTTACACAACATAATTTCTCCTGAGCCCCTTTTCCAAGTCAATGTTGACTCAACTCAAGTTCTTGCAACTTTGGGGGTTCTATTAAGCTGTAGAGTTACAGACTTTTTGTGAGTTCTCCGGGGTTCTGTCCATGTGTATGTGCCTATATATGACCTCCATGAGAGGTCGTGCATCCTAATTTAAAGCTTGGCTTCACAAAGAGGTCCATGTGTATGTGCCTATATATGACCTCCATGAGAGGTCGTGCATTTAAAGCTTGGCTTCACAAAGAACAAACTGTTTGGAGACAAAAAATCCTTGCCTTTTCCCTCTAATGCAATTTTTTTTACCCTTTTATCCCTTTTTTACCAAACCCATAGGTCAAGAGCAAAAGACAACAAGGGGTCCCGATACTCTTTGGAATCTTACCCACAGAAAGAGAAAACAGATAGACAGGCAGGCAGAGTGAGCTTTTTCTCAGGCACAGCTGCAATAGTCACATGTTCACTTTCATGTGGGAAAGGTATTTTTTGGTTCCTTATATCCCTTCAACATTACTAGGTACTATTGCCAACCCCAGGAGAAACATAAGTTATGAAAAAACAAAGCAAACATATTTGCCCATCTTAGATTTTGCTATATTCTTGAGGTATCCAAATGGAAACAAGATGTTTGGTGTACTTAAAGCTACAAATTTGATTTCATCTTCAGGTTCAGCATTTTGACACATGTAATTTACCTTATAACAAGAGCCTCAGAGCAATGCATTTTGAGGTCACAGGCAAAAAACCAGTCTATGACTACTTGTATCGAGCTGTACTTCACATTCTCTGAAAGGAATCAAAATGGAGAAGGCTTTCCTCATTTTTACTGATCTAACAAATTTTCACTAAGTGAATTCTTTTCAACAGAGGAAAAAAGACAAACCCAGAAGACCTTGCTGTAGGTCGTGCAAGCTGCTCTGTGCCAGTCAGGCCTCACACAACCAGGAAGTGTATTGACTGAACAGATACGAGCAAATCATTTTTAATACCTCATTTAAGGTCTTTGGAGATTAATTTTATCATAAATTTGGAAGCCTGATTTAATTGCGCTAATTATATTTTCTCTTGGGAATTGATGGATTACTACCTAGCATATTCTCGCTGTGCCTCATGAATCACACTGAGGCTTTCTCTTATTTATACCTGCTGGAAGTCAAGGAAACAAGTTACAATAGGCATTAAAGAAACATGCAAGAAATTACCCTAAATCATTTGCTACATATTCTTGCTCATCTTGTAGATCTGTTCTTACAATGATGATTCCATTCTTCTGGAAATAATTGCCGAGACTCTGTTTTAATTCTCTGTCTGTGGGGAATTCACTGAGAAGAGAGCACATTTCAGACATGCAAGACATCTACAGTTCCTCCTCACATCTCTCTTTTAACATCATCCACCCATCCACATGTATTTCTTTTTGAACGGAATGCTGTGGGTGCAGAAGTAATTACAGCCACCACACTTCCTGGTACTTGTGATTCCGTCAGATGTAATCATGCAGCCTGATTTTGCTGCTGCTGGAATTTGCCACTGAATGGAATAAGGAGTTAGGCAACATCCTGTCATAGAATAAAGTTCATCTGTCATGCTCAAGTGCCAATCACCAGGATATCTTGTTTTTGTAGAACTTTGGAAAATCATGTTCTCTCCCGGTCTCTGCATGACCTTTCCTGCTCAGTGTTTAGTTAATGCCGTAAAGCTTATAATCAGTATTTATCATTTATATGGAAAGAAAACCAGCCCATGCCTACAATGAAGTAGCCATTAAAATCACAGTGTCCCTTCTCTCCTCTTAATTCCTCCTCTGGGATCAAAAACAATGCCAAATGTCTTTTTTCCTTGGGGTGAGGGAGATTCACAAGGCTAATTCTGCACTCCCATCTCCATATCCGTTCTTATAGTTGTGTTCTGAAATCTTTCCCTTTCTCTCTGGCTTTTGCAGGCAGAGCAATAGCTAATCTATGAATAAGTACATCTCGAGTTCAGCCTTGATGCTGAACTGCTACCTGACCTCTCTTTCTGAGCCCACCATGTCCTTCCCCTCTGCAAAAAAGTGAGGTCCCTTGCCCACCACTGTGGTGAGGGGGCTCCTTTCTGGATGTTTGTGTGCCCTCTCCACACTGGGGAGCACCAATATTGAGGAAAAGTCTGCACTACACTGCGTGGGCAGTTGGACATTGTGTAGATTCACAGAAATTCAACCAGGAGTTGCAGCTGCCAAGGGGTTTCTTCCTCCGGTCAGGAACACAGAGTAGGATGTTGCAAAGCATTGAGTCCAGCGTGCTCAGCTGAGAGTTGAGCAGGGGGGACCAAAATCTCATTTTTTTCCTGACCTGATGAACACAGTATTTTGAAAGCAGTGCATGCTCTAATTGTACTGTATGGTTATTCCTTTTTAGAATTTCATTTTCTCAGATGTCGTATCACCTAAAGGTGGACCCTTCTTTCAGATATGACAATCATTTCCCCTTAATTAATTTTGATAGTTTGTTCATCTTCATGGAACAGACCTTCATGAAGAGAAAGAAACACACATTTCCTTCAGGAGCGAGTTATGAACACATTAAATTGAAAAGCTGCAATGTTCTGTCACATTACCTTGGTCCCTACAACGCAGCAGTCACGCTTGATAAACGGTGACATTAAGAATAACATTAGAGAACACAGGCACGGGGTTGTGACGGCAACCAGGATACCTATCTGCCCATTGTTACAGACATTGCCCTCCTCATTTATGCTTTTGGGAGCGATGGACATATAGAGGGAAAAGAATCAATATGTTTCTCAATTTTTTTCTCATGGCTAACAAAAAAAATTTGGACTATAACTGGACTTTTCACTGAGCTGTAATCCTGTAACTTCAGTGCCATTAAAATACATAATTAGGCTCTGTTAAATATAGAAGCATGTGGCAAAAGTGGTAAAATTTATTACAGCAATTATTGTTTCTTTATTTAATTATTTGTATATATAAACTATATGTGTGGGCGTATAATGTTACATAAACACATAGGAGCAGTTTTCCAGGGTGTCTGTCACTGTCATACCAAAGTGCTGATACTGCTGTGAGGAGGAGGCTGATTGCCTATTTAAGACTCTAAGTGGCAGCGAGGATTATTTTCTTCTGCTTTTGACCTACCTTTCCCCATCTCTGAATGGCTGGTGTTCAGTTCTTTCTTTAAGCCAGTTTTCTGGATAGGGCTTGCTTATTAAAAGTCACAGGCATTATTTTAAATCACACCGCTGTCAGTGAACCTCTTTAGTGGATCATACTTTCTGTGGAGTCCTGAAGGTTTCTGGCTTGAACTGTAGCACAGACATCTTTGAATCATATCCTCTGATTTCACTGCACTTTTAACAGTGTCATTTTTCCAGCGACCTTGGTGTTATTTTGCCCTTTTCATTGGAATCAATAGTACCAGCACTGTTCCCACACAGCCTGATGAGGTCACATTTAGGCAGACACTGACCACTTCCATTATCCCACTTGTGCTTTCTTTTGCTCTCTTTCCTACATATAATTCAAATCAAATACTTATTTCAAAAGCCAGAACAAATGTGTCAAATGTTATGTACAAGACTCATGGTAAAACTGGAAGAGCTGGCAGTGTTATCAGCAAACCCTGATATTTATTCTCTTTTAAAACTAGGCTTGGACTGTGATGTCCAAAAAGAACTTGAAGCTAGTTAGGAGACCTTTGTGCTGGAGCTAGTGCCTATGCAGTTGATGTGTAAAGCCCCTTGGTTTCCCCTCTTGCCAGCTGTTCCTCTGCTGCAAGCTTACAGTGACAGGAGCTGCCACTTGTGCTCCATATTTTTATGCAGCAACTTTATGCAGCAAGTAAGACACAGATCTCTGGTTCATTAGTCTGGCTCCTACAGTGCAAGCAAATTATAATAGTTTAAACACAGTTGGGTTTATTTTTAGTCTGAAGGATAACATGTGGCCATGGGAGAGACAGAAAAGTGAGGCAGAGGAATTCTGATGGTTTAGCTTTTTTACTTCCTCAAGACTTTTGTAGAGAGTAAGGCAAAAAGAGGTAGCAGGTCAGAAACATAGGCTATAACCTGTGTAAAGCTCCTGACTCCTACTAGAAACAACTTCTATGGAGAAGGGTTTTACACTGTGGCATCCCCATCAGGGGAAACGTGGAAGAGAATTTGGGTAGTATAAACACATGCTTTCTCTGTATCTGTTTATGTGATGAACAGCATTTATCCACAGCCACTCTCCCAGCCAGGGAAAGCTGCCTCTGGGGAGCAGGACCTGCCCCTGGAGAGGAGCCCAGGGGCAGGGCTGATCCCATGAAAGGCAGCCTGGGGAACAGCTCTGGCATTTTTCCTTTAATTTCTATATGGGAGTAAGGCAGCAGGAGTGCTGAGAGGGTTTAAGGACTAGGCAGTCCTCAAAATAACTCATCTTACAATTTCTTTCCTGTCTCGTTTTTCTTGTTTTTCTGCAGAGTTAAATGTAAGGGACTCTGACGTAAGAGTGTGTGATGAGTCGTCATGTAAATATGGAGGAGTGTGCAAGGAAGAGGGAGATGGCTTGAAATGTGCATGTCAGTTCCAGGTAAGGGCTGCTCACCTTTTTGTTTGCCATTTCTAACAAATCCTTCAGGTGTATTGAAGTATTTGTAGAGTCACTGCTTCAAAAATTCCACTCAGGAACAGGCTTATGGACTCTAACCATAAGCCCCTTTTTCAATGGCACTGATTGGATCAGATAATATCAGTGATCATGAAGGTTATGAATTAGAACAATGAATTAGTCCTGCTCAGAAAAAAAAATAAAAAATTAAGATATCTTCTGAAGTTTTAAAAAGTAAATAGCAGGTTCAATTTTTTGTCTGGTTTTGAGCCTTTAGTTTACAGTTTTTATAACTGTCATGGCAATTCTTCTCCCCTCCTGCCACCAACTTTTTTAAAGAAAAATACAGCAGTTATTTCTTTTCATAGTTTATAGCCAGGACAAATGTATCAAGTATTATGTACAAGACTCATGGTAAAACTGGAAGAGCTGGCAGTGTTATCAGCAAAGCCTGGAGTGGGCTGTCTTTCAGTGTTTTAAAAATAATTATGTGTTCTGTTTGCAATAAATAATAAATCAAGGGGAACCAGAATAGCAATGGTGTGTATATGATCTTACACTGGTTTTGAATTCCAGTGTTTCAGCACTGGCTTTCGATAGTGTGCTGTTCACCTGTGCTGGGGACATTGTTCTAGCTGCCTTTTAAAGGGTGAAAAAATTTTTACGAGACAAGGCTTTTTCATCTGTCTCAGTCTGCCTGTAACATTTATTTATGAAAAATAGTAAAATCAAAGCTAAGTAATGATAAAAGGAAAAGAAACACAACCCTAGGATAACCAAAAGTTTAATCTATTTTTTGTAGGTGGCAAATTTTGTTACTTCCTAGTAAGCAGGTCTTGAAGACATATAAAAAAAAAAAAAAATTAGTCCATGTGCTAAACTGTTTGTTTTGAAGAGTGCATTTTTTAAAAAAAGCATTGTTTTTAAACTACTTGCATGTTTACTTGTACTTCTTGAATAATTTATTCTATACTCTTAGGAAATAAGTCTATGGGTGAGGAGAAGATACTGTGTTTTTCAGACATAGCAGGTTGAAAATCTTCCTGTAACTCTCAAATTTAGTGGGGCTTACTCATCTTGCTGCAACTAGCAGCACCAAAATTTCCAGGCAACAAACACCCAGCCCAAACTGTTGGGTTCTTCACATGCAAGACTATCTGAGGGCTAGCTATTTTTTTTCTGATATTTCAAGGTTTTGAAAGGAAAATAGACACATTTGTGTATAGTGGTTCAGCTGAAGAGGCACTGAAATGAGGATGTGTGAATATCAGCCTGTTCTTCCAGAAGTGTGTTTCCTATTCATCACAGAGCTGGATAACTGTGCCACTACATTTTTTTCCTAAGATTACTTTGCAACCCCCACTTATAGTTCAGAGGTCTGAGTGTCTTTGCATAACATATATGTTATGTATTTCAAAAGCTTCAGCCAGGAAAATACTTGCTGAATTAATACAGCAAGGCATTTCTTATGTTGTTAAAACTGTAATTTTTAGAAAAATGTACCCTAACAAGAGAGTTGCAAAATTAAATTGATCTGGGATCCAGGTTGTGGTCAGGTAAGATGTTCCTGCTAGCGAGGAAATTGCAGAATCCATGAATATGCTGAGTTGAAAGGGGCCCACAAGGGTCATTGAATCCAGTTCCTGACCCTGCACAGGACATGCCAGGAGGGATAACTGTGCCACTACATTTTTTTCCTAAGATTACTTTGCAACCCCCACTTATAGTTCAGAGGTCTGAGTGTCTTTGCATAACATATATGTTATGTATTTCAAAAGCTTCAGCCAGGAAAATACTTGCTGAATTAATACAGCAAGGCATTTCTTATGTTGTTAAAACTGTAATTTTTAGGAAAATGTACCCTAACAAGAGAGTTGCAAAATTAAATTGATCTGGGATCCAGGTTGTGGTCAGGTAAGATGTTCCTGCTAGCGAGGAAATTGCAGAATCCATGAATATGCTGAGTTGAAAGGGGCCCACAAGGGTCATTGAATCCAGTTCCTGACCCTGCACAGGACATGCCACGAGTCACACCACGTGCCTGAGGACATTGTCCAAACACTTCTTGTACTCTGTCAGGCTGGTGCTGTGACTATTTCCATGTGGAGCCTGTTCCAGTGCCCAAGAATCCTCTGGGTGAGGAACCTTTTCCTGATACCCAACCTGAACATTCCCTGGCACAACTTCAGGCCATTCCCTTGGGTCCTGTCACTGGTGACCACAGAGAAGAGATCAGCGTCTGCCCCTCATCCTCCCCTCACAAGGAAGTTGTAACTGCAAGGAGGTATGCATGACAGAGGGATGTTTGGGGACCAGAGTGGCACAACTAATCATAGCCACTCCTGAACTAAGGCCGACACTGGGACAAACTTTCTTCAGATTAGGGAAAATGAATGACAAATTTCAGTGTTGTTTGAAACACCTAGAATGTCATGGCAGCACGAGCTCTGCAGGCTGAAAGGTATTTTGGATGAGTTTTACAAGACCTGAATGAAAAACTGATCAGCAGCTAGTGTGTGTGTTAGGAGCCAGTGGGGGAGGTCAGATGGACTAAGGTGCGATGAGGAGAGAGAGAGAGAGACATCATGGGGCTCTTTTCCAATTTCAGTAAGAAAGGCTTGATAACAATCAGTTTAATTAGATAACTGCTTAAATAGGAGAGAACAGGAAAAGGAGCTAAGTGACAGTGAGCAAATCTTGCAACCCATTCAGATGTTGGAAACTCTGAACTCACACAGCCCTGGATGGACCTTGGATGGAATTTCCCATGGCACACTGTGCTGAGCAGATCCTGTGCACAAAGAGATGCTCTCCCTATTGGCCACTTGAGGTATTAGAGGACTTCCTCACAAGAAAACAACTTCACTTCTGAAAGGGTGTCACAGGAGAACTTTGGGCTGTACTGTAACAAATCACTAAAGGCTTACCAAACTGTAAAAAAGGAATCCCTTTACTTTTCATTTTCTATCCTCAGAAGAGAACCTGCAAATTTAAAACATCACACAGAGACTTAAGGAGAATTGAGAATTATCTATTGAACAGATAATCATCTATTGGAAAGTATTGTCCCCCTTGGGAATTGTCTGTTAATTACTCTCTAGAAATGACTGGTTTGTATGGCATGGGGCAGGACTAATGGTTGAGTGTCTGAGAGCTGCTCACTACAGGGAAGTATTACAAAACTGTTAGAAATAATTTTCAGAGCTGGCAGAATGATTTATTTTTGTCCATACCTGCTTAGTTCATTCTCAGAGGTCATCTATGGCAGGATGACAAAGGATTGGAGGGTAATAGCCTTCAAAATTATGTTTTAACATTTCAGTATTTTGACCTTTGTGTATGTCAAAGCACAAAGAAACTGTTGTGGGAGAGACTCTCATTTGGAATTTGGAGAAGAAACTCTTTCATTTTTAAGTCATTTTAGCATAACTGATGTTATTATTTCTGCATGCACTCTCACAGGTTGAACTATACCAGTTTAATCATAAACTTTGTGTGGTTAAGAACTTTGGTAGCTACTCTGTATTTCATCATTACTTCTTGCTTTTTGTTTTTGGTTTTTACATCGGAGTGTTGACAAAAGGTGTCTGACATTACAGTTACCACCACACCCCCAAACAGGGCAATATCTCCCTTTCCATGCTGTGAGGCAGGGTTTGGACCTCCAGTTCAGCAGGAAGTCATGCAGCACTCTCAGATGTTAGGCAGATTGCTGGTCCCAGCATCTGAATGGACATTATGTGTACAAGGGGCTTATAATCCATTTCTGTTAGAATGTAAGAAAACAGTAAAATTCAGGTAGCTTCTGCAAAAGCTATTCTAAATGATAAGTTTTCCTTTCTTCCTTTCTTTCTATTTATTTGTGTCAAATTTAAGATTTAAATTTAAGATTTAAATTTAAGATTTAAATTTTTCAGTGTAGTAATAGAAAAGCATTATTATAGTTATATAGTCTATATTATATAGACCAAGTAAAAGACTCATGATGCTCTTGAATTTAATGAGAGTGGCTATTGTTTTCCACCTCCTTTGTAAGACTGTTCTGACCAAAAAGGTCAGCAAATCTCCCCTTAAGCACTGTTCTCCTTAAATTCTCCTTTGCTCAGTTTCAGCCCCTTGTGCCTAGTCATACTTTCTTGTGTTATCTTGAAGAAGCTTTCTCCTGCCTCAGTGTTTATCCTTCAAATATTTCTAGATGCCTGACATATTCCCTCTAGTCAGTACAAAGTCCCACCATAGTTATTTTGTGCTTTTAATCTTTCCTGCTGAATTCCTATGTTCAGTCCATGTGGAGTTAGACTATTATTTCAGTGATCCGAGAGGAATACATATAGTCATACTGAAAAACTAATATATTTCAAGTAGTTCTTTAGCAAAAAGGGTTATAAGATGCTGTTAATAACACAACTATCTTCCTGTATATTAATATGCAGTTCAGATTAATGACTTGATTTCTGTATGACTGGGTTATATTATAATTTCTTTTTTAGTGTCACACGAACTATATTCCAGTTTGTGGATCAAATGGAGACACTTACCAAAATGAATGCTTCCTCAGGAGAGCTGCTTGCAAGCACCAGAAAGAGATAACAATGGTATCAAGAGGACCGTGTTATTCTGGTATGTAAAACATCACTTTATGTCACTAATGAATGATGTTTTATGGTTAGCTCTTTAGTTTTGCCCTTAATTCCAGCAATTAAAATTTTTGTGCTTTTCATAGGATGGAATAATGTGGAAAGCCTGAGTCCTCTTTAGGAATGGAACCTTTTGCTAGACAAGAAATCTGATATATCTTCTGATATGCTAACAGATTAATAAATAAACACTGCAAGCTGAAATAGTTTATCTGAGAAAATAGATTATTAATGCTTCTGTGGTGCTTATAAAGGAGTGTTGATATCCATCAAAAGGCTTTTAACAAATTTGGAGCAGATTCCAAATTAGCCATTTCTTTAGGACTTTTCTTTTTAGGATATGCAGAATTAGTGTAGCATCCAACAAGTGACGCTGAGCATCCTGACTACCGCTCTGCCAAGGCATCCAAGGCATCATCTTTGACTTTGGGTCATTACATTGAAGATCCATATGGTGGCCAAAAGCATGACCATGGGTCAGATGCACACTCCTTCCTAACTTAGTTTTGGTTAGTTGCAATGAAAATTTAGAGTTCTGGAGCTCACTGGTAGCTGCAGAATCTTATCTGGAAGTTGGGGTAAATGCACATGCAGCGTACCTAGTCCAAGTCCTCAGCGCTGCCAGTCCCAATTACCTCATTTAAATGCAACATGTTTCACACCAGGTGCCCTTTGAGGCCTTTGACCTATCCCGAGGTCTGGCTCATGTTTGCTAAGGTCTAAAACAATTTGTGTTGTTGGTCCTAATACTGAAGGAAGCCCATGTTTTGTGCCCAGCTCAGAAGCATAATTCCAGCATCCCTCAGGCTGATGGCTGAATCTACTGTCTTTCCCAATCTCCCACCTCTCTGTAAATAACCTCCATAATAATTTACCTCTCTGTAAATTAGCTCCAGATGCTGCAGAAATAGGGAAAAAAATGCAATCCAGTTTGGAGGACTCACATATTACTATAACAACACCCAAGAAATATGAAGATTTGAACTGAGGATGTATAATTAAATAATATTTTTTAATTTCATGCCCAAGTCATTTTAAAAGATGGACACATAGCATGAAAGTTCATTTCTATCACTGAAAATTCTAGAATAATGTTTTAGGAACAACAAAGAGTGTTTGCATATATATGCATTCTACTCAACTAAGAAAAAGAAATTTCAAAATGAAAAATCGATTCTTCTCAGCCTCAGGTTGCTGGCAGCTAATTACTACATTATACAGCTAGTACAAGAATTTTTTTTTTCAACCTTCCTCTCCTTTTCTTTAAGTCCTACATAAAACCCAGGAAACGCAGCATAAGTTTTAGCCCTTAGTATAACAGATCAAGAAATGTGCTGAAACACAATGCACTGAAACAACCTTTGTGAGAGCAGAGCTTTTGATTCAGGCTGCATGCTGCACTTACACTGTTGCAACTTTGAGTGCCTCAGCAGAGCTCCCCTGGAATGGCACCGGCTGCTCCCTGAGTGCCTGATGTGCTTCGGGTGACGGGAGAATATCGGATGATAAAAGTCATCACCCAGAACCTCTCCATGCCCTGCCAAGACGGCGGTATATTTGTGCTCTTGATATGTTACACGTATAATGGAGGCTCAGATACCAAATTAAAAGATATTTTGTAGACCCCCATTAATTTTCACTGGTTGCATTTGAATTTGCTATTAAAATGCTTTGTTCTGGGGCATCACTGGGAGACAAGTACAGACACACTGGTTTCCTATCAGAGTTGGGATGCACCCAAGACAATAGATGAAATTCCTCCTTAGTGTTGGAACAACTGTTTAATATTTAAAGTATAACAGACTTCTGAATCTCATATAAGAATAAAATACTTCCCATTTGCTGGGAATTGATACCTTCTGTAGCTACAGCACTAGAACAGGCTACACTGAGTGATTTAGTCACTAAATCATTATTCTGTTTCTTGGCAGGTAATATTTTGATTAAAATTTTACAGACATAAGTGATTTGCAATGTATTTTCTTATTTCCTTTGCCGGAAGGCTGTCAGAGTTTCAGGATTCTAAAATAAGCAATGTTTAAAAAAGAGTCAATTATAGATGCTTTAGAAATAAACAAAATGCAAGTTTTGACATTAAAAATGGTTGTTTAGAGAAATGAAAGAGAATGTATGGATGAAATTTTGGGTCTGCATGCACAGGTTTTAATATTGATTTTGACTGCTGCCAGATTTATATTGTATGCACATGAAAATGTAACCACACAATGATGTAGTACTTGATTATACTTGCAGTTTCTCAGTGTTCTGTATACATTTGGAAGCCACAGTCCATTGCTTTCTGTTGGGATTTCTAAGTAAAAAAAAATAAAAATAAAAAAAGGAGAGTAAAGTTATTTGCAGCACTAGAAACAAGCACAGGAATTATTCTCTTAGGAGTGGCTTATGGAAGGGTCTGCTTGCTTAAAATTTGTCAGTGGACTGTTTGCCTTCCTGTTTGTACTTAGTAGTTTGGAGTTGTTGCCCTAAAATGGGCAAGAGATGGGTTCCATTTTTATGCTACTTTGAGTTAAAAGCCATCTCTCCCTCCTGAATGAGAGAAGCTGCAGTCATTTTTGGTTTTGGGGAGTTTTTTCTGCCTCTGCACCAAAGCAGACCCACAGTACAGAAATGGCTCCTGTTCAGAAAGAACAAAAAAGGAGATTCTGAGTGTAGCTGAGTGCTTACAGCATTGAGATGCTGTGTCTCATCCAAGTCCTTCTTTGTGTATTTTATCCAGAAACTCCTTATGGATTAAAGCAGCTCACAGCAGAAGCTTGTATATTTGTGTATTAGCATTTTTTAATAGAACCATGGAATGGTTTTGTTTGGAAGGGACTTTAAATATAATCCAGGGTTTTTTTTTTGGAAGGGACTTTAAATATAATCCACATCTCACCTCATAGCTCTGGATAAAGATATCTTCCACTGGACCTGGTTGCTCAGAGCTCCATCCAGCCTGGCCTGGATCACCTTGAAGGAAAAGCCACCTTTTTGGAAAAGGGTGGCTTTAAGATAGAGGTCAATCACTCCTCCTCTAATTACTGACCAGTGTTTGGGGGAATGCTGTTTGTGCCCAGCATCTTCACTTCTTTGAGCATCTTTCTTGACTGGTCTTGGTGCATGAAGACAACTTTTGAAAACGCTGAATTCATTAAAGGCCTGAAAAGAGCAGGGCTGCTTGTCCAAGTAAGCTGGAAAAAAATGCTACTCTTTTAACCAGCAGCTGCCTGGGAAAATCTAGCCAAGGTTCAAGAAAAGAAAAAAAAGCAGGAACACCCGCTTAGTTTAGCATGGTTACCCTGGAGACGAGTCCTAGCATAGCTCCCAGGGAAAAGTTGAAAATGATACAGTGCTATAGAGGATGACACTTTTTTTTTTTTTAATCCTTTTTGAGAACAGAAAGTCCAGAGAAGTAGAAATTAATCTAGCCTGCTGCTGTGATGTCCTGCCAAGTGGACTTCATGTACATCAAGCCAATTATCTATAGAGATGTGTGGTGTGAGCATCAGCTCCCTGATTTATGGGGTGCTTTCCATGTGTGGCACCTGCCCTGCCCCATGCACACAGGATTTAGCCAGAGCCCCTCATGCTGGGCTGAGCAGCATTTCTCAGGTCAGGGGAAAGCAGTCAGAAAGTGAGAACTGGGAATAAAACCATGGAAAAAGTCGAGATATCTCTGAGACATTTTGCCCTTTGTCTTTCATATACATCACTTATGGTGAACTTGCTCATATTTGTATGTCAGCTTCCTCTCCCCCAAAACTGTTTATGACACAATTTCAGCACCACAAATAATCCTATATATTAACTCATATAAGTAAATTATGCTCTTCAAATTTCTTAATGAAGCAATACTGCACCATAAGGCATATTTCTCAGTGACTCGACAAGGACATTTTATATGGGATTGCCTGCTTTGTCAGTAAAGTGGGTCACTGTTGATGGAAAAAAGAACCTTCTGGTTTTTGTGTTAATTTCTGTAAGGTTATAAGCTCAGTCTGTTAGACACCAAATAGTGGTATAAGAGGAAAGAAAGGAAAATTAAGGCAAAAGATAAACAAATCTCTATTCCTGATACTCCATGTGACAGGAAATCATTTTTAATGTGTGAAGTGACCCAGTAATGTGGAATTTCACGCTTTCATCCACACACTAGAGGGAATTATTCTTAGAAATACAGCTCCTTAAAGAAAAGCAGGGGAGGGAACTGAGCAAACAGAGGGTTTGGTTTTTCCTCTGATGTGAACAACGACCTCATGTGCGGAAGCAAAATTCCCACTCCTCTCTCTGTCTGGCCTCTTTCTTTCAGTTTTTAGCAGATACATTCAGCTGCCTTCTCCATCACCAAAGCAGGCATGAAAGGAGAGCTGTGGGATGAGCAGAATGTGTGCTCTGCTCCTCTCCTCTCCTCAGCTTCCAGAGAAGCTAACCTAACAGGAATGGGAGACAATCCACTGACAGTAGTTGCCATTCCAGTCTCTCCTCTCCTCCTCCTTTGGGCAGGAAAGGCAGGAAGTTTTATGACTCAGTTCATGTGTTTAAGGGTTTGTCTTTACTGCTGTGCTTGCTGAAGCCTGTGCAGAGCCCTGCCCAGTGGGATGCACATGCAAAATCCCTAAACAGATCCATAGTGCTCTGAAGTAGAGTTAGCTGGCCGGGGGTGGTGAAGAAGCTCAAGTCCTGCTGACACTTGAACTGCTAATGCAAATGAGATCCAGTTGAAAGCTGTCACTCATCAGATGCTAATCCAGTCAGTCAAATGTCAATGAAATAACAATGCCATAAGAGCATCTTTATACCAAGTGATTGACTCAACTGACAGAAGCAATTTTGTCATTAGGTGACTTAAATCAACCTTACTTGGATGACTAGTTGTCTTCTGGAGGTACTTCTGCAGTCAGGTGACTTATGTGTTGAAGTACTCCTTGAAGTACCACTGGCAGGGCCAGAGGGTAAGGAAAAAATAATGTTCCAAAAATTGGACTTTGTACTCTTCATTTCTTTTGGGTTTAACAAATTTTAATCTCTAACAGTTGTAAAGAGGCTAAGAAAGATATTTGTTTTCAGTATTGAATAGTGCTGTTCCTTGAGTAACATCTTGACAGGGAAGAGAGAGACTAGGGCACAGTGAGTGTGGACAAACGGTGTTAAAGGATACCGGACCTTATGTGGGATATTTGTTTTTACAGCTGGCTCATGAAATGTAACATCTGTGTAATGTTTTACAATGACAAGTTCCTGAACAAACAGCTGCTCCTGGAGCAACATTTTCATTTGCTTTCTTTTTTTTCCTCTCCCCCTCTGTTTCTTTTTCAGATAATGGCTCTGGGTCAGGAGAAGGAGGTGAGTACCAAACTCCACTTGTCTTTGGTTTTGGTCTTTCTTCTAAACAAATGTGTGCCAGTTTTAAACACATATATACACACGGCTACTGTATACCACACGAATTGAGGGAAAATGATGGCACTTAAAATAAGCTTTAAGGCTGCAGTGTTATTGAACCATCTCAGAACAGTATTGGTAGAGGAATAGGTTGTAGTCTGCATTTCACCAATATTGTTCTCCCAGATTTGACCTGTATAATTTTTCATTTTTTATCAGCAATGCAGTGCAATATTTAGATCCCTATTTCACCTGTATTTCTCTCCAGAAAATGACCATTCACAATAAATTTCTTACCATTTTCCCCTTGCATTTATTTCATTAATGTCTAAAACATCTAAGTTGTTACATTATGCTTGGTTGAGCTTGTTGCCTAAAATATAAAACAATTGCATTATGATATCTATTTATATAAAGTATTTTACTAAAGTATTTTTTGTTCAAAGCTGTATATTCAAAGAAGGGATGTAGCACAGCTGGTGATAGTAGAAGTGTTTCCATCTTTCAACACATCTTAATCTTCTTCAAGGATTAAAAAAAAAATTTTCTTAATTCTATCTTTGATACTACTTACAAGAATACATATAGAATGGAAAATATGAGACATAGATATATACAAACACAGAAAAACTGTTTTGTTGTTAGGCTTTGGTAGTATTAAGAAGCTGTTGCATTTCATGGTGATGGGACTGAGTTTTGAGGTACTGTAAATCTTGTATAGCTACATGAAAATGTGTTTTTGTGGAAAACCATCTATGGCATCACTGTGTAGCTAAATGCAACAGTTAACTTTTCAAAAACCAGGAGCTAGCTCACTCTTTTTTTTCCTGTATGGAGGTGAAGGGGGGCATTTCCCTTCCCCTAAATAAGCTGCTATCAGTAAATTCCTGGGCTGCTGCTAGCACAGGGCCATTCTCACCTTTGTTTCCTTTTGGGTCAATGTCTGAAGGAACAATTTTCTGCTCAAACACTTCCACTTCTTACCTTCACTGATATTTCTGATGCTTCACACTCTTTCCCCAGCTCTGTTTGCTTCTCCTTCCCCTTGTTAACCAGCCTGTTATTCCACTAGGACTGCTCCCTGCAAGCCAAGCTTTCTGGCCTTGGTACTGCTATGCAGTTCTTGTAGGAGACAGATGACAGTAATTTAGTCCATGTTTCACTTTTATTTTTAGAACAGTTTTAGAAAAGTTTGAATGCCATTGAGATTAGTTTGGTTTGGGTTTTTTTTTCATATTTTCTAACTGCATACAAAAATCCTGGTTAAATGTTACTGTGCTGATCTGGAGGATTGGCAGCTGACTGATAGATGTCAGGATTCTTTGGGTAGCTTCAAGAACAGTTTGGAAAAATGTAGCCAGAACATGCTATATTTTGTTGGCTGCTCATTGAAGAGGTGAAAGGTGTATGTACAAATATACTCATTCCTTGATTTGGGGCAGGAGGCTGAGCCCAAATCCACCTGTAGGGGCAAGACAAACCCACATGGGCTTCCCTTTGTCATTGCTGTTCTTTTTGTTCTCACTCGAAACGCTCACTGAGCCTGGGACAAAGAGTTGGGGAGGAAGGATTCGTGCTGTGGAAAGGCTTTGTTAGCTGGGGCTCAGCATGCCAGTGCATTTGAATTATTTATGCAAAATAGAATACCATCAGCTTAGGAGGTTTGGTGGTCCCTCGATACCTTGCAGAAGTAGTTGGTGCATTGTCTTGGGAAGTGGAATATGTAGATTCAGTTCACTTCAGGCAGAAAGAATTGAATCTGGTTCCCTTGGTCCCAGGTGAGTTTCTGCACTGCCTGGGTATTGAATTAAGAAGGAACAATGTACCCACTCTGTCCTCCGGCAGTTTTGTGACATTAGGCCGTCATTTATTGGGGTTTCTTCTGAGTGCCTTTGGGCCAACTGAAATGTTCCTTCTTCTGTTCAGTATTAAAACTGTTGGGCTTAGTTCGTAATTTTAGGTTAAGGAAAAGGAAATTTAAACAATGAGACATTGAAAATCCTGCTTGGCTCTTTTTTTTTTTTTTAATACATATTGGATATTTGTGATACATTGAATTATTCCTGTCCTTGTGCACCTTCCTCGCTAAACTGGGTGTTGGGTAGTACTTCTGTGGGACAGCTGGTTAGTCTTCAACCTGTTGTGTCATTTTCTGTGTCTGAAGGCAATCCTTCAAAGAATGGAATCCACTGCTGCTTTGGTTGTTGAACTCTGTCCTGGCTGAAAATTCGAGGATATTTTTGTAACTGGAATTTGGGTTTTTTTCATAATTCAGGTAGTCGTAAAAGTGTTACATGAAATCATTAAAACATGAAAAGTCTTACTACAAGTTAAGGGAATTCAGAAGGAAAGCCAGACTTCTGGTAGCCTGTTGGACCTATTGAGGATGGAGATGCATTGTTTGGAATCCAAACAGAAAGAAAGGATAGGAGCCCACGCAGAGGGTGACCTGCAGGGTAGAGGTGCTCCATGGTGCCCTCCACACTTCTGCCTCTCTGGTTATTTCAGCTATGGGACTGTCTGCTGCAGAACTGCATTCTGGCCCAGCCTTCCTCATTTTCCCAATAAAGGAATGTTTAATCTCATACTCTTGGATAAGGTGCTCAAACGGGGACCTAATTCCCTAGAGAGCCTCTGTGCCCTATGGGTTAGGTACAGCTGCTGCTTGGAAGCACGAGGAAGCTTCAGTGGATGTGGAAAAATGCAAGGATGAGTGAGACAGAACCAGCAAGCCAGCAAACATATACTAGCTTAGAGACTTGTGTTTTCTTCCTAGGATCTGTGATTCCAGATGTTAATCACAGAATCAGTGTTTGCTATGTTTCTCAAACATGCAATTAGTGTGATTGTGTATGCACCAGTGATGCTTGCACACACGGAATGGATGAGCACAGCTGCTCCTGTGCATTCAGGAGGCATTGCAAGTGCTGTGCAGATGCACTGTTTGCTGGTGGATTTTTGACTTTGAAAGAAAGTACTGGGAAACTCTTCAGTTGCTATAGCTCTGCCTGAGACAGACTCCACTGCTGAAATTAGCTGTTGGCTTCATGTTTAGCTAAGATTTGTGCTACTGATTCACACTGTTCTTTATCGTTTTCTGCATTTCATTACAGAACAATCTCATTGATGATTCTGATACTTGACTTCATGCATATTCTCCCTCCTACTACCATACTGTGTGATGTTAATGCATTCATTTCTACATTAAAAAAAAAAAAGAAGAAAGAAAGAAAAGTAGATTTAGAAACAAGAAAAAAATCCAAGAGAACAAAATCCAAAAAACAAGAGAAAAGGGTTTTTTTTCCTCAAAGATTGTTTCAGACAATATATTGCCTTAGCAGTTATCATATGCTCCAAGAAAAAACACCTAAAGACCATGGAACTGCTGGCTGAGGTTCTTCACAAATCATCTTTACTGTTACAAAAATACTAGATTTTAGGAAAAGAATTAAGAGTGGGAGAATTTTTTCAGTATGCCTGAATGAGATGAAGTAATATAATTTTTAAGGATGACACAATTGTCTAGTTGCCCTCTGACATTCTGAATGAGCTATTTCAATTTTCTATGCTCTGTTAGCATTGAGTTGTAATATACGACCCATTTTTCTAATTTCAGAAGTCTGAAACTTCATTAACGTAATAAAAATTGTAGTTATGAAACCAAGCAGTTGGTCACTTGTGGCGATGGGTATTCTGAGCCACTTCTAAGAAGAGTATATGATTGTCAATTCAGAAATGAGAGAAATTTCAAAAATCTCAATGCTCTACCATTATGTTTCACCCCTACTGGAGGCAATGTCAGAGAGCCTTTAAAGAGTTTTACTCACACTTTAAAGAGTTGGGGTCATGGCTAAAATGGTGGGACCCTTTAAATTTGCATGTAAGACGTGGGCTTCTCTCTGTATTCTCATATGAATCATTCTGCAATTTCCTTGTTCTGAAGAATACAGTCATAAAATTAGGCCCTTTGTTTCATCAATATTTTGTTAGACTTTGAGGCAGAACTGGAGAAGGACAAGGTACAGGCTCAGATTTGTGTACATCTCTGTGAATTGCATTCTGTGAATTGCAACACTATTTGAACTGCTGGATGTATTTCCATAACGTGTAGATTGGGGCACGAAAAATTATTCTGAGGCTATCACATGCACATAAAAAAGTAGATTGCCAGCTCGCAGCTGTGATGTTGACTTTGTGATATAGTAAGGCCTTTGCAAGAATGTGTTGAAAGCCATCAGCATTTGTAACACACACCATGAAAGAACTAACAAATGGTGAAGGCTTTTCAGGCCAACCTCTCAGAAACAAATCACTGTCCTGGAAGAAGCAGGTTCCCTGCTCTAGTAATCAGCCAACAAGGGTGAGATTTCTAAGTGCCCTACTATGCCCATAACATTAATTTTTAATTCATTTTGTTCAGTATTTGTCTGTGTACCTGAGCAAGATGCCCTTTTGATATTAAAAAAGTTGTAATGGTAGTTAGACAGATGGCACCCAATCATTTCAGGCTTTTAAGCTAAGGAAATAACATGCTTGCAATACATATAGCTAAGTTAATTGTTATTAAAATAATTTGTTTTGAATTTCTAATCCCTCTGAAATTTAATAGCTGAAGTATCTTGTGATGAACGTCTAGCAGATTGCATTTAGTAATTAATAAATTGATATACAGTATGTGCTTTTTAGCAGGCTGCCATCTGTTCCTTCCCCACACTGGGGACAACACTTATCCAGTAATTGTCACACAGTCAGGGTGGAATAAACACACACAATTTAGAGCCTCGAATATTTTCTATTTTAATTTGTAATAGTGCCACTGATTTGTTTTAATGTATTTTAATATGACTTGCAGAAACTTGATGGTGATTAGCACCGTGGATAGGGGGTAGCATCACGTCTTTTAGCTATTCCTATAATGGTGTGTGACTTAAAAAGATCTAAGATGCAGATTCCATCGCGTG